ATCTGATTATTTCGACGCCTAAATATTCAAGAGGACCTGGAACAGCTACATGCGGCTTTCCAATCTTCACTCGGATAGCAGAAATCTGAGGAAATTGAAGCAGTGTGGTGTTTGCAATCAGGTGAGCCACTGATTCCAATAGATTCTTAGATGGACCCTCAACTACCTCTTTTGCAATCCTGCAGTTTAAGATACAATAACCAAAAACATGAATTTTCATATAATTTCTCACAAAAAAATGTAAATTTTAAAGTGTTTATCATCTAAAATTTATGCTTATTGAATTCAAACCTGTAATGGTCTATGCAGTGCAACTGCACAAACTTCTACTCTTGACATAGGTGTGCAGAAAATGGACTTTTTTTAAATGGAAAATGAACTTTAGCCCTCCAATCTTGATGGTCCATTTTATAGTAATGAACTTACACTAATCACCAGTAAAAGTAAATGCAGATGATGAAACTCTTCTAGTTCCTCCAGTCTCTTTAAGAGAGAGTTTTAGCTTCTTCAGCAGCTGCCAGAACTAGAACTACTGATCATAGTACCTAAAAAACACCTCAAAATGAGGAATCTCCCAATGCCCCAAGCCTAGTAGGCTTGATTGAGAATATCCTAGGGCTTCGTTTGGATACCATGGTATTTTACTTGTTTCTATGGTGTTTTTGCCAAAAAAACACCATGTGTTTGAAAACCATGATGTTTTTTGAGCTAAATCATCCTCAAACCAAACACACAGCACTTATTTCAAAACAACTTTTAGGTGTTTCACGTTTGGTGTTTTGGTTTTGAGTTTGAGAAGGTGTTAATATAATATTATAATATCTAACATAATATATTAAATGTAATTAATATAAAGTTATTATCAACATGCTTATTATATTATACTATATTACATTATATTATAGTTAATTTAATATATTAGTAATATTTATTAAATACTATAAAAATATAATAAATAAAATATCTTATATAATAATATAATAACATATTAAATAGCAATTTTTAATATGTTAATAATGTATTATATAATAAATAAATAATATTAAAATATAAATAAACTAATAAAAATAATAAAAAGTTATTGATAATAAATATTAATATAATAATGATATAATAATATACTATACAATAGTGTAATTGCTAAAATATTATTAACTTTTTAATAAATAAATTGTAATAAATTAAAATTATAAAATATTATATAATAGTAACATATTTAATAATAACATAACAATATAATAATATTATTATAATAACATATTGTATGCTAAATAATATAATATATAAAATATTAATATATTATGTAATAAATAATATAATTTATTATAAAGTAAAATAATTTTTAATAATAAAATAATTTATTGCTAACAAATGTTAATGTAAAAATAATATATTCATAGTATAATATTATTTATTTATATCATAAATACTAATATATTATTAAAGTATTATTAATAAACTCTAACATATTAAAAACAATATAATATTATAATACATTATACAATATTATATTGCATTACATTTAATACTTATAATACTATAATAATGTAAACTAAATATTATAACATTTTATTTACAATATATATTATTATAATTAATATATAATATATTAATAATATGTTTAATACTAATGTTATAATGGGTCAAACTAGTGTTGACCAAAAATACTTAACATGGTGTTTTGAAAACATTTTAAGAGAAAAACACATCATGGTGTTTTTTTACAAAAACACAAGAAGGAAAACACCATGATATCCAAATGAAGCCTTAGATACTTTATTGTTAAGTACAAAATTTACAACCCTCAACCCCCACAACTACATCCAAATTTGGTATAGGGGAACAGACTTTGAACATTTATGATTCAACAAACATATTGAAAATGAAGAAATCAACTTATAGAGGACCCAAAATACAAGAATTTAAGCAGTACATGACCATCAGTTTAAGAAGACCTATTCCTATTCATTTGGCCTGGTCAATTTGCTAAATCCAAAAAGTTACTCATTCTCTATATAGCATGTTTTCAATCATGAAACCGTACATGTACAGCACATCAGCACTTCATGGACACTCTTTAGGTATATGAATACACTTAATCAACTGTGCACACAATTATATAATACATGTTCTAATTTAAAACACTCATCGTACACTTCGTAGATCATGTATAGACTACACTTCACATACACTTTTTCCTACACATACACTTCTTTGAACTCGTTAGATATGGAACGAGTTCGTTTCAGCCACCACCCAGTTCAAAAGTATGATTTTAAAGGGTATTTTCGTATTGGGTTAAAAAACGAGCAATTTTTTATTTTATAATCTACATGATGAGAAATAGAAAAATGTTATAGGAATTTTAATTCTCATTAACATGTCTGCGGGAAAACAATATTGATCTCAAGTAATTACTAATTTTAATACATACATTATAGATAGCTTTGTCCTCGTACCTATTATCGTGTCCCATACTCATAGGTCCTTATGCATGGGCAGTTCTCTATAGCGGAGCGGCATTCATGATTTCTCCAGTTTCCTCTTTGGTTTTGTTCATCCGCATCGAATTCCAAATTTACTGGAAGAGCCTTAATATCATATAGAGAAATATCAGACCATTTGATTTCTTGTGTTTCTCTGATCAATTTTATAATTCTAACTCAAGCCTTCCCAATAGCTTTCATAACATCCGTAACTTTCCTATATGTATTTCCTTTACAAAAATGATATCCCAGACCATTTAGTTGAAATTAATACAGAATAGTCATGAAAATTTGTCCTTGAGGTTTACCCGAAAGAGATCTTTGCTTGAGATCCTCAACGAAATTGTCTGTATTATACAGTATAAGTATCTTCCTCTAGCCCTGTTGGCTCAATTTTATGTAAAAAGTTAACCTCCAACATTCTGCTCAAAATTGTCAATGGCCAACTGTAGCCCACAAATCATGTCAAAAACTTCCAGTAGGTAAAATAACAAAATGTATCTGAATCTATCTACAGATCAAATAGATCACAAGAAGACTGCATCCTTGCTCCGTTTCTTCCAGCAAAAAAAAAGGGATAGAACGTGAGCAGCATGGAACTTAAGGATACCATAAACAAACTAAGGCAATCTTGGTCTACCATATCAGTGTATTGATATTGGTTACTCTACAATGCTCCTAAGTAACTCAATGAAATTTTCTTCACCACAAATGCAAGGGCTTTGTGTGTGTCTACCGTCTTCATCCCCTTACTAAAGCATGTGGATCATGTCATCTATCATTTTGCCTTGCCTTATGTGTGTGTAGCAGATTCTTAGATTTAAGTAATGGATATAGAAATAACTTATTAGCAGTAACAACTAAAGCAAGACGGGGAAGAAAGGGGTTAAGGGATTGATATGAATAATCTAATTTCCATCTAATTTCCTTTCTTAAGACACTTCCAGGCATGTATAGAGATAGATGGAATTCTACTACTCAACTTCATAGTATATTTAGCGGAAAACAGGCAGTGATTCCTACCTGTAAATGTCAGTATAGCTAATGGTATCACGGATGCTATCAGTTTGACCAGAAACACTTAAGTCTAACCAGGCATCCACATCCACCAAGAACTTCTGACCTAGCTTCTTTTCTTCAGTTTTTACCCCATGAAATCCAAAGAACTGCAAACCCCTCAATATCAGCTTGTCAGCGTCAACAAAATCTCGTTCACCCATGTTCACCTGAAGGGAAATTATCAGTTTCTTCAACCAAGCATATAAAAACAAGAATAAAGTACCATAATTAATGAACTATGTAACAAGACAACAAGCAATCATTATTGAGATATGAGTTCTCTATTGATCAGCTAGAAAGTGGCCAAATGACAATTCTTAGTTGATTTGTAGAGACATTCTGTTTAGAGAAACAACTGGAGGTATGCCTCAAATAGAGCAGGAGAACAGAATCTCAAAGAGCCAGAATGTGAGTTCTACCATTTTCAGTTACTGAGACTTAATAAACACAATGGAATAGTTCTTCTAGATGATTAATCTATGAACTCTAAAGTAATAAAACCAGCGAGGTTTCACAAGAAAAGTTACAGTTCAATTTTGAGTTGAACCTTTTGTGTGACATGATTTGACAAAGTTTCAAGATAGTTGTCAACTTGACATCAGCTTTCTCTTAATTGAGCAAAATTCCTTGTCAAGGACATATGCGAACTTCCTTGAAAAGGACATATGAGCAAGCAAGCGCCTTGCCAGAAATCACAGATGACTTGGTATCATTCAATCTGGGAAAAAAATTCTAGAAAAATGAAAAGATGCCTGTGGGAGACTGTTAGACTTAGAAACACACAAAAAAGACAAGAACCAAGGAAGTTGTTAAAGGGATAACCATCCAATGTAGAGTATCCTTGAAAATGAAAATGAACACGTTAAACCATGCATAAACATTATCATAGGCCATTTATACGTAAACTATTCAAATCAAGCGTTCAAAGATGTACTTGAAATCAATAGAAGAACTAATGTGTTAAGTCAATGTTCCTCTATTTGTGCTAGCTCATCAGATAGCAATTTGTAATTTTTTAAGTAGATTTAGGCTAATACCATCACATTCCACATTATGGCCCCACACTCAAATATTTGGGTTTTGTTTCTCTCAGAAAACAAAAAAAAATTACTTTCTTCGGGTATGATTTACAAACATCACTTTGTTATTCTATCTACTAAGTACCATAATCTTATAGAGTGAATGTCTAAACGAGAATATGTCATCAAGAAGTAGTTACATCTTTGTGTCATGATTAAGGATAGGGTAGCGGGAGTAATCTATATAACCAAATATTTCTTATGCAATGAATCATAGGGAAAAAGAAGATTTAAATGGGCACAACCATATCTTGGTTAAACTTGGGGCTTATGGGTATTACAGTGTGTAAAATAGGTTGCCCCAAACACTTAATTTGAACCATAACAATAGGCTATAACCTTTTGTCTTTTGAATTGACAAAATGTTGATGCTGCCTCATTATAGTGTGTAAAATAGGTTGCCCCAAACACTTAATTTGAACCTTAACAATAGGCTATAACCTTTTAAATTGACAAAATGTTGATGCTGCCCCAAAAATTTCACTTCCCATGATGCAATTACAACCGAAAGTTTAAAAGTAAGACAAAGGGTTGAAGGACAAAGAAACATAAATAGCTTGCATACGATGACTTGAGGAAATTATGTGCTTCATGTCCTCTTTTTTCAAAGTTCTACGTGGATTCACACGTTCACATAGTGTAAAACCCCGTAAATTTAAAATATTGTGATATATGATAATAAATATGTTATATGGTAATAAATAACATATTTTGATGTTTGAGTATGTTAGGAATTGTTTTGAGATCAATTCAATGTATATATATATGAGTAATGTATATATCAGTATATCAGACTTAGAATAGAGAGGCTAGCAGACCCGAGTCGGCTAGACCCGCCCTTCGAGTCGACACCCCCTTTCGAGTCGACACCACGTTGTCGTCTCGTTTGGTCGAGCTTCGTGTCGACTCGCACCGTCCTTCGAGTCGACACCCGCATTTCGAGTCGACACCACGTTGTCGTCTCGTTCAGTTGATCTTCATGTCGACTCGCACCGCCCTTCAAGTCAACACTCGTCTTTCGAGTCGACACCACGTTGTCGTCTCGTTCGGTCGACACCACGTTGTCGTCTCGTTCGGTCGACACCCGCCTTTCGAGTCGATACCACGTTGTCGTCTCGTTCGGTCGAGCTTCGTGTCAACTCGCACCGCCCTTCGAGTCGACACCATGTTGTTGTCTCGTCTGACCTCGTCTGGTCTCATCTCGTCTGGGCTCGTCTCAACCGATCTCGTCTCGTCTCGTTCGGTCGGACTTCGAGCCGACTCACACCACCTTTCGAGTTGACACCACTGTGTCGTCTCGTCTGGTCGGTTGAGTCGTCGACTTTAGAGTTGACACAAGAGTGTGTCGTCTTGAGTCAGTCGATTGAGATCCCTTCGAGTTGACACCACTGTGTCGATTCGTCCAGTCGGCCGAAATGTCAACTCATGTGCATGTTTCGTTCCAGATCACTTTTGATGTCGTTTTCAAGCCTTTTTTCCAACATCGTGTAAGCTTTGTACACGTGACATTGTGTTGGAATATGTGTGGAATGTGTGTGTGTATGGACACTACGTAGAAGAGAATCATTTTCCTTGAAAGCTAGGAAGTGTGACCTCTCTTAAAAATCTGAGCTTTCGTCTTCTTGCCTGTGGACATCGCTGACGCTATCATGACAGTAGTTTGATGTTTTAACTTGGTTCCTTTTTAACAGAGACTCGTTTTTTAGAGGGATCATTGTCAAGAAATACCCAACTCATCTTTTACAGAGCCTTTTCCCCTCTCAAACCCCACAATAGTTTCTAAGTGTTCTTGTGACGTTTGTGAATAGGAAACAGAGGCTAGCGTTTGCAGTGAAGGGGATCTCGCACAACCGTTGTTTTGGAATTTCAGCAACTTTGAGGCAAAATTACTCTCATCCAAACCTCTCCCTATAATTAGTTGAAATTTTAAGAAGATTCCTCATGTTTAAGTTTAACTGTTATGTTAAAAATTAGTTTATGATGATAAATGTTAAATCCTAAACTAGAACTGTAATTTTGTTCCCTTAACTGTTGCTTTTAGTTTCATGATCATGATCTTTAGAAATTTGGAATTTATTTCGTTTATTAATAATGTTAAATCATGTTAGAATCCTAGAGTAATAATAAATGGAAATTTTCCTGTTAATCAACAATATTTAATTCCTAGACTAGTGATTACCTAGATAAATATAACTTGTTTAAATGAAATTTTATCTCTAATATTTGGGTAGATCCTATCATGTATAATTAATCGTGTGGATAGCTTATGTGTAAATTCAAATAAAAAGATTAATTATGAAGTTAACTCAAATGAGATAAATCCTAAGAGTTTAATTATTTTCTGAAATATTATCCTGCTAAGTGGTAATCAAGTTGTTGTATGATTTATAAGGATAAGAATCAAGTTGTTTAAGGTGTTACAAGTTTTGTAATTTAAAAGTCTAAGGGAACATATTTCCCTTTGGTCGACCGACCAGCGCCCTGGGGGCGATCGACCGGCGATTTCCCTCTAGCCCGTCGACTGGAGCCTTAGAGGCGGTCGACCGGACTGGGCTAGTTTTGTCTTCTTAGGTTGGTTTGTGCTGTTTCTAGTTGCGATTGCGGAGTTCGAGCCACACTTTGACACATGTACAGTCATGAACACATATGAAAAGTGTTCTAGCACACATGAATTTCCCAAATGGGACTATGACAAGTATTGTGCTTATTACTCTTCACTACATATTATTATTTACGCACGAGTGTGCACTGAGGTCGATGAACCTATGTTATTGTTTCCGCACGTGTGCGCCGAGGTCGATGAACCTATGTTGTTGTTTCTGCACGAGTGTGCGCTGAGGTCGATGAACCTATGTTGATTTTATCCGCACGAGCGTGTGCAGAGGTCAGTGAACCTATGTCTTTGCTTCCGCATAATTTTGCGCAGATGTTAATATACTTATCTTATCTTTTTACATGAGGGTATGATCTGTTGAGAATTTACGGAGAATGGTAATATTGTAAGCCAGCTGTTTTGAGTCCTTGGTGGACGCCAAGTATGATAAAACTCATTGTTGAGTTATCTTTCGATCGAGTTACTCATGATTGCTAGTACACGATATATATACATATATTGATGTTGTTTATGATGCTTTACTTTCTAGTTATATTTCCTTTCATATATAGCTCAGGATTAATATTTAGTTATCTACAATTTGAGACATATGGTATATACATGAGGGTTTTCTTGTTTGGATTATTTCGCTCGATGTACCAGTCTCGTGTTGTGAATCTTTAATTATTGATTTTCTTTAGATTATTTATCTTTAGTTCAGTGTTAATATTTAGTTATCTACAATTTGAGACATACGGTATATACATGAGGGTTTCCTTGTTTGGATTATTTTGTTCGATGTACTACGTCTCGTGTTGTAGATTTCTAAGTATTAATACCATTAGATACGGGGAAAACGATCTAGATAGACTATGCTTATTAGATAGAGAGCCTCCACTACATCTAGTGACCCTTCCCCTGAGGGCGGATGAAGATAATCTTGTTAGCGCTCTGACGCTTTTGTTGTTGTTCTTTTTATTTTATTTCTCCTTTCAGGAGGCTCAGAGCATCGGAGAGTCGCAAGATGACAGAGTCCTTGCATAGTCGTCGTCGCAGGGTTTGTTAATAAGAACTTCACAGTAGTTTTATGTTTCCATTCAGTCATGTGAGTTTGTATTCGTATTGTTAGGGCAGTTTTTCTTAGTATGATTTTCAGTTGATTCATTTTGGGATATCGACATTTACTTCAGAGATCAGTTGTATTTCAGTTTAGATTATTTAAGACATGATTTTATCTATGAGATATATCTTTCTGCATCATGTCTATTACATCTATTTCCCTTATTTTGTCTGTTTTGTATCTGTACGTCTATTTGATTTCACTAGAGGATATTACTGTGATTGGTGAAACGTGTTATTACACAGTGTGGGTGCATGACAGATTTGGCATCTCTGGGTTCACCTTGGACTGCAGCCATGTGTGAAAACAGGGGCATCACACATAGTTAAGATGTTTTATGTAACTGATGGATAATTAAAACAACTAAAAATAACTTCTTCAAGTTTCAGAGGCTATTTCCTTAATTTCTTGTAAATTTTCAGATATGCAACCAATACCAATCGGTAGCCACATCTCCCTACAATTCCAATAGGTTACATGAACTTACATTTGTTAGTCATATTTAAGAGTTACATTTAGGGGCTGTTTGGTTCATGGATTTCATCTTGATGCATGTCATGGATTTTGTAAAACCCATACACAAAATCTTATTTGTTTGCGATGAATATCAAAGTGAACTTACATGAGTGATAAACTGCAACAAAGTTTTGTTTGGTTGCATATGAATTTTGTGAATTTTGTTGAGGATATGTGACTAAAATCTCAAACACGACTGAAATCAGCATAATTTTTAGGGATTCACATTTAATGCAACTATCGTACTTGGCAACCCCAAATCCATGATATAAAAAATGCCAAACAAATATTGTATTTGATAAGAATCTAGGATTTTAAGCTTGTGAGTCCTATTTCTCAATGCAAAACCCACCAAATGCATGCAAACAAACAGCTCCTTACTGTTGCAAGACTTTCTAGTATGCTTCACAAATACAAAACAACCCTTCATTCATCAACCTATGTGAAGATATGAAATGAAACCTTAGCTTTTAAAATACATTAAATAGCATTGATGATAATCTCAATTTGGATATATGATCTTATTCTACGAGAAGGAATGCTTAAACTAAGACTTTGAATTGTTAGTTTTGGCGAATAACATAGGGTTAACCACCAAATGTTAGAAATACCATATTTCCTCAGTCATGCCTAGAGAATAAATCACTAAGAAAAAGAAATAATAAAAACCCAACAGTATACTCAATTGGGTCATCTGCTTCCAGATTTTGATGATGGGAAAACTCAAGTTGAAAAGTATCCAACTTCACTATACATAAATAAATAATATAAATGCATGATAACAGAGATTGAAATTTGAAAAGCGATCAAGATTCAACCATCCATTTTCAATTTCATAAGCAGGCGCAACTTATTAATCTGAATGAAAACAAATTGAAAGGAACAAATAGAAACAAAATAAGGACAAAAGAAATACAACCCACACGATATCTTCGCTTGCTGCAGCTATTGATCTATCTATCTTGTTGTTTCCCCTTCTTTGGTGAAGGCGGTACGAAGAGGAGAGCTTCTTATGAAGCAAATGAGTATGTGGGAACTTTGGGGCGGCTTATGGGCCTCTCACCAAACTCAGCCCAAGGTTTTGTTAATGAAGGCGGGTCCTTAACTTTATTTGGACCCAAAGTGGACCACCTAGAAGTAGTATTTATGCCATTCTTTAAAAAAAATGTGACTGGCCCCTCAACATTTTGGGCATATGACTAAACCCGAAAAATGAAGTTCTCATGTGATTACGCCCTGCCAACTAGGGCTGAGCATGGTTCGGTCCAAACCGAAAAAACCGACCCGAACCGACCCGAAAAAATCGGTTTTATGAGTAGGGCGGTTCGGGTCGGTTTGAAAACTTTTCAACCTGAACCGACCCGAACCGACCGAATATAGTGCAATACTACTCATTCTAATATCAAACCCTACCCAACCCGTCCCCAAAGAGTCAAAGACTCAAACCCTAAACTCATTTTCTGAATCGTTATGGGTTAAAAACAATATCATTATATCAGTGTTTAATGCTTCATAATCTCCTACTTTGTTGATATCTTTTTTTCTTTAACACAGTTCGTTGTTTGATAAGAAGTTGGATGAAGTTAGAACCGAACAAACCGAACCGAACCGTACCGAACCGACTTGCAACAGTTCGGTTCGGTTTTGAATTATAGACGGTTCGGTTCGGTTGTTTAAATTTTGGTAAAAACCGAACCGAACCGACCGTTGCACACCCCTACTGCCAACTCAGTTATATACATTTTGTGCACTGTATTTTCCTAAAATCCTATAATATCCCTCCCTATTTCACCCACCAAAGTCTCTCACTCTTCATCTTCTTCATTTCATCCTCATGTTAATGGATCCTTACAAGCATATTCAAATCTCCCTAGTCTTGATGGATCTCTCCCGTTGCACCAACACCTCTATCATCCCTCCGTCCCTCCTCCATCTCCCTCTACTTGTCCCATCCCCTTTCCTCTACCTCCAACTCAACCCATCTATGGTTTCCTCCATCCATTAACTCTTTTCAACCTCCAACTTCGACAAAGGCAAAGACGACATCAACTCTGTCTTGAATAAATCTTAGAATGCAATGCCTACATTGATCTCGAGCATGTGACACTGGAGAGAATTGGGACTATCTTGGGTTATGATGATTGGGTTTTGGCTTATTGCCTTGTTCTTTAATCTTGATGGCCTACCGTGTCGACGATGGTTAGGCCCGCCGCTGCTGCCATCTTTTTTGGAGATGGTGATAGGGTTGTTAGTGGAGATTTAGTAGCCTCCGGCAGTGGCAGACTCTACTCCGGTCATCTTTGACCCACAGCTGGTCTCTCCCACCACATAGTAGCAAATTTTTTTGTCGAAAGATTGAAACTTGATGATTATCCTTTTGTTGTTTAGCTCTCTTGATGGGAGTAGAGTGAAAAAAAGATTGAATTTTGTCTCTTGGGCTTGCTCCGCTCAAGACAAAAATCGTACAAAACTAAGAACTTTGTCAATAGAAAATTTCTAATACTTTATCCTCATTAAGGAATCATTTGCGATGATGATTTTGATCCAATTATATTTCAATATGGGTGAAATGAATCAAAGAGAATGGATAATTCTATTAGGTTTCTTACTTAGTTGTTAAAGTAAGAGAGAGAGAGAGAGAGAGAGAGAGAGAGAGAGAGAGAGAGAGAGAGAGAGAGAGTTTTGGGTAAATTTTCCTTAAATTGAATATTGAGTGTGCACATATATTTATACAAGTAGAGGAGGTACGGTGTGTTCTCATAACCAATGTGGGACTAAAACCCACTACTAACACTATTATTAATACTATTATCAATAGCCCCCCTTAAACTCATGTTGGATCAAACAAAGTGAGTTTGCGTACAAGAAACTTGAACCGATGAACATGTAAGGCTTTTTGTGAATAAATTTGCAAGCTCGTCGGCATATAACATATGAGGAAGAAGAATTATCTTATCATTGATAACTTGTTGACGAACAAAATGAGCTCGATCTCAATGTGTTTGGTCCTCTCATTAAATACTGAATTATTAGCAATCTGGATGACACCTTTATTATCACAGTATAGAGGAGTAGGAGTCGAAACAGAAATACCGAAATTATTAAGAAGACAATGAAGATGAATAATCTCTTTAGCTGTTGTGGACATTGCACGATACTTTGCCTCGATGCTGGAAAGAATAACAACATCTTGTTTCTTACTTCGCTAAGAAATTAGGGAATCACCAAGAAATATATAATAACCTGTGTAGACTTTCTGGTAGCAGGATCATCAGCCCAATCAGCATCAGAATATGCACAAAGCTCTAACTTAGATATAGCAGGAAATATAAGAGAGCGTGTGCTAGTATACCGGAGATACCGAAGAATCCATAATAATGCAGCATAGTGTACAGAATGTGGGGTACTAACAAATTAACTGATAATGCCAACATCATGAGAGATATCTGGTCGAGAGATGCACAGATAGACCAACTGGCCAACAAGATGTCGATATCGGGTAGGATCAGATAGAGGCTCACCATCAGTAGAGCGAAGTTTGATATTCTGTTGGAGTGGAGTATCGACAATTGCATCGTCAGTTAGCTCAGCTTGATCTAGAATATCCGAGAGATACTTTTGTTGAGACAGTAGTACACCTCGCGGCCTTGAGAAATTTCTAAACCAAGAAAATATCGAAGAGATCCAAGATCCTTCATGTAGAACTATTGTTGCAATTAAGATTTTACGTACTATACCAGCCACATCATCACCTGTAATGATCATATTATCTACATAAATGAGTTAAAATCTATGTTAAATAATCATGTTAAATAATCATGTTTATCCTACTTCTAGTAGCAATGCTTGTATGCACAATGATGAGTTGAATCAAATGAGAAAATGAATATCTACCTTAGATTTAACACTAAACACTTGTATTGCTAATAATAAAAAGCTTATGGACTTATGTGCAAAGTTCAATGTTAATTCTTCTAAGAAACCTATTCACTATGCACATATGTATGATAAAATTCACAAATGTTCTATTTGCGGTCTTAAAGGCCATTTAGCTCAATTTTGTCATAATGCAAAAAAAATTAACAAGCCTATTCATGATTGTGCATCCCATTAAGCTTCTTCATCACATACGCATGTACACACACATAGTGTAAATCATAAATATGCTCATGTGTATAAATGTGATTATTGTGGTTGTTTTGGTCATTTGGCCATGTTTTGTTTTGATTTAAAAAGAAATTCTCGTTTGCAAAATAATTACAAAGAAAAATCTATTTTTTCAAATAAACCACATGCACATTATTTCGGTCAACGCAAACCATTCAAACCCCTACATTGCACAAATTGCAATCGCATGGGTCATGTTTACGATTTTTGTTTTGACCGTATTGGTGCACAAAATACGCCCAAGCGGGTTCATAACCCTAGGGCCTTGGATTTACATGATAGGGGTTATGTCCCAAATTTTAGTGGTACCAAAATAATTTTGGTACCAAAATGAATTTTATTTCATAACTACAGTTTTGATTTTATTTTTTTGGTTTTTTAAGCTTAAATATTGATTTTCTTTTATGTTAAAAGACAAAATAAAATGTTTGTTATGGATTACTAAGTAAAAACTTTATATATATAAATATAATTTTTATAAAACAAGATTGTTTAATGATCCAAAATGAAATTTTCACAAAATTCAGATTTTACAATACCTGTGCTTTTACTTCTCTCGCGGTCGACCGTCAAAGTTTCTGGAGATTGTTACGGTCGACCGCCACGGTCGACCGCAAGAAAATTTTTCAGTTTCTTCTTTATTTTCTTATCGGGTTTTGGTTTTTATTTGATAACTTTTTAAACCCGATTCACCATCACCATTGATCCTATTTCTGATTAGATCCAGACCGTCCCTTCTTCTTCTCAATATACCCGTCCTCCCCATTTTCCTCATTCGAAATTTTTCCCCAAAATTCTGTCGATTTTCCCTTCTCAGTCGCCCGCAGCTCTCCATCGGTCGACCGCGGTCATTCCCCGTCATCAATCTTAGTTGGGTAATCTCTCCTCTCTTCCTTCTTGTTTCCATTCTCTCTTAGGGTTTCATTGCCTATTCTAGGGTTTCTATTTCAATTTCTGACTTTTTTTATATCTGCCAAACCCTAGTTGTTTCAATCTGATATTATGCCTCCTAAGAAGAGATCTAAGCCTGATGCTAGTTCCTCATCTTCCATCGCCTCTAATTATGAGGATTTTCTACTGTTCAAACCCCTAGTTAAAAAGTATAGGGAGCTTTGTAAGTTGAAAATTTTATCTAGTAGATATATCAAATATGGGGAATTAGCCATGTATGATATTCATGAGATTTTATATGCTATCGGTTTGCATAAACTGTTAGATGTGGAACGTAAAGTTCCTTATTACCCATTTCTCGTCTATTTGTTTTATGCAAATCTGTCTGTCACCACTTCTGCTGATGGTCTTCAAACCATCACCACATCTGTTAAGAATGTTCCTATTTCATTTTCTGCCGACGAACTTGCGGGAATCCTTAAGATCTCGTCAAGTGACGTTGAGCTCATGTCTATCGAACACACCGATCAGGCTGTGAACGATTTTATGTTTAAGCCCGGTTGCACCTATCCTATGAACAACAAATCACTTAATCTCACTGCTAAAATCATTGCTCGTATTGTTGCTCAGAATCTCATTCCCAAAACCGGTAGCTTTGATCACTTTGCCCCTGATAAGGTTAATGCTGTTTATGCCTTCTTTGCTAAAATAAAAGTGAATTGGGCAAATGTTTTTCTTAAGAACATGGCATGCAAGCATTACAAGTTTCTTCCCTTCGGTTGCTTCATCACCCTTATTCTCCAACACTTCGGTGTTGCTCTAACCAATGAACCCAAAGTTGATCCGAGTAAGGAATACTTTGATAGAGTTTCTCTCTCCCGTATGCAAATTTCTGACTCCTTATCTGATCCTGCTAAGCCATCATCTTCCCGTTCTCGGTCTAGAGCTTCCACCATCTCCATTTCTGATGTTTGTGCCCGACTGGATCGTCTTGAGA